ACCATTTCACTTTTCTTTCACCAGTTCACTCTTTCTCTGCTCTCTTTTTCTCATCATCTTCTCCTTCTTTCCCATCGCCCGGCTTGCTACAGGTTTGCCTGCTGTGTCTAAAAGTAGCAGCAGCAGCAACCCAGACTGACAGCAGCTCATTGGATCATTAGTGTCACATGTAGCCTGGAGCCGGACGCTCTGGAGGGCTTTACCGTATTAACAGGAGAAGCAGCGCAAGTGAAGTTAGACACTGTCATTAGACAACATGCAGTAATTTATAAAGGTGAGGTCTTCTGTTCCCCTGTAAAGGAGTGGGGGTTGCGATGATAGCGGGAAGAGATCAACTCAATTGCTGCTGAAATCTGAGTCCACCCCCTCTATTTGCAGTTGGTTTTTCTTTCCTAACATAGATGGCTTCCTTCACGCCCCTCTCAAACCACCTATCTTCTTTGTTCAAAATGTGAACATTCTGGTCCTCAAAAGAATGTCCTTTGTCCATAAGGTGTATTTGTACCGCAGAGCCTTGTCCAGAGGAGGGCGCTCTTCTGTGTTGGGCCATGCGTCCATGGAGAGGTTATTATTGGTGAAACCAGACAACCACAGACGCAGTGTCAGTGAGTCCAGTGTTCTAGTGGATTGTTTTTTAATTTTTCGGAATGACCATGACCTGGATGACTTCATACTGGCAATGATTCAGCCACATATTTAGAGAAGCAACGCTTTTGTTTGTGTGGAGAGGTTACACACAACTTGCTATTCATCAATAAAAATCTTGTTACTAATGTGTGTAAAAGTGGGAAAGCAGAGCGCCTCACATATGATGGGAAGCAACTTGAAGCTACAGCTGTTCACTGACAGGTTGTGATGAGGTCAAACCAGATTCATGTTGGAAAGAGTATTTAGTGTTTTTAATGATCATTTCCTCAACTTAGTGCCTCCTTGTTAAAAACTGATTTTCAGTTAGAGGGAATTATGAAACTCAGATTAGCAGTGATGGTTGGGGTTTGTAAACTCCCGGCTGTAACAGGCTGTAACCTTTCTCTCTGCAGTATGAGAACCCGTGGACCGTGCCCAACCTGCTGTGTGTTTGTCGCATTCTGCTGGCTCCATATCTGGGTTATCTGATCACCCAGCAGCACTTTGACCTCAGCCTGGCTCTCTTCATTCTGGCTGGAGCCACTGACCTGGTAATGCAGACTCACCATGCAGTTTCTTTTTCAAATGAATCTAATTTTTGTCCAAAAGTCTGTATTAAATACACAGAGGAATGTATTTGCTACCTGTTAAATCATAAACTGAAGGGATTGAGCCACTTTATTTTTAATTCTAGGCCTGGTTACAGTCGGAAGCCGTCTGATAAAGAAATCACTTCAATAGAAACTGTCTTGATTGTTTGACCCAAGATTTTGCAACATCGACTCAGTCTGCTGAATATCAATCAATCTATTAACCTTTGGTTATAGAGGACTTTACACGCCCGATGTTTATTACAGGTCCATAAATAAAAAGAAGGAACCGTATGAAACAGAGGAAGATAAAAGCAGAAAGTAAAATAGATTAATAATGACATCAGAACTGGAATTAAAAGTCAAGTTTAAAAAGGTTTTTTGAAGAGACTTAAAAACCAAACCTGACGGTTAGATAAACAACAGAAAAAACTCTGTCTACCTCTGATTTATGAGAGGAATCTTGGAAATGTGAAGGAAATAGGCAGGATGTGCTCTGTCCTAGGATACCTTAGAAGGAGCTATCTTAGGATGTGTCCTTAAACGTACAAACAGTGAGGAGAAAAAAAATCACGTTTTATGAAGTGAAAAACCCCAAAAAATTGTAATCCAGAAACTTTCAAAAAGGCTTTAAAGAAAAAGTCCTTTCAGCAATGAATAACCAAGGATCATTATTTATACCTAAAACTAATACGTTCGCAGTGATTTAATGAATTTAGGATTAATCAGGAAAAAAATAAAAACAATAAATTTCTTTGTGATCACTGAGTCTGGGAG